TCGGCTGAAGTCTGTTCTCCCTAAGTCCAGTGTGGGAGTTTTGTTGATGCCCCTCCTTCTTTCACAGAATATTTCAAAACTCGATGATTTCATGGTCACTGTACCCCAGGCAGCCTCCAACCACCACATCCCCCAGCAGCCCTTCTCTGTCTGTGAACAGCAGGAGACACAGCTTTCCTTGGCAGTGGCAAGAGAAGGAAACCTCCCCAAAGTGCAGCTTGGCAGGTTCAGCCTGGTGGGGAGGAGAAAGAAAAGTCCCTGCCAGGGTAGAATTTTGGTGCAGGAGGTGTCCCAGCGTGAGACTGGACCATGCCATGGCTGTGTGTGCCAGGAGCCGGCAGTCAGTGGGGCCCAGGGATGCTCCAAGGGACTTGGAGTTTTGTTTCTGACTCCTTGAGCAGCTGCTTCAACCTTCTCTCAGTGCCTGAGGGTGCTGGACTCAGCCCCAAATGCACCCTGGGGTTCATTAAAATACAGAAAGCCTCAGGAACTCTTTCTCTTCCTTCCACTGTCTTCAAGTCCAAGGCTTGTGCAGCTGCTTGGAGTCAATTTGGAGTTCTGTTGAGGAGGAAGATTTGAAAATCCACCACTTTGGGTTTTTTTTGGTTTTTTTTTTTTTTTTTAAATCAAGGGTGTATTTTTTTATTTTCTAGTTGAGAGAAGAGGTGACAGAAGCATTCCCCAAGTGATCCTGATGCTGAATGTCTCCTGAGGAGGTCTGGTCACAGAGAAGAATGAGCCCCTTGTGGGCTGCCCCTGTTTGGACAACCTGCTCCTCACCCCGAGCCTCAGCATGTCTGACATCGCCCACCTGGGACTGACATCCCAAAGCATTGAGAACCTTTATCAACTTTTCTTTATCATTAAAATCTAATTAATTAATAAAAACTAAAATTTTATTTTTATAATATTATTCTGTATTTTTATAACGTAATTTTTATACTTATATGAACAAATTGATACATTTTGCGCAACTGAAAACATTATTGGTCTTTGGTACTAAGTACCACAATCCCCTTCTTTAATTAATTGACCACTATTGCTCCCTCTTTATGCTAATTACACCTATTTTTAGTCCTTTGGTCATAATTTTTAAATTATTCTCAGACAGGTTGAAAGGAGCCACTTTGGGGTCCATGGAGACTTTTCTGAGGAACATTTGGGGCAGTTTTAGGTCTGGGGAGGGAATTTAGAGAGAACTTGGGGGTCTGGAGGACACTTGGGAGAGCCAGGTGGGCACTTGGAGGGGGACTTGGGGATTCTGTGGGACAGTTCGGGGTCAGGGGGAACACCTGGGGGTCCAGGGGGGCACTTGGAGGTCAGGGAGGGGAATCTGGGGGCCCTTCGGGGTCCGGGCGGGCACTTGGGGGGCTGTAACGGGGCTCTCTGGGCCGCGGGGGATGACGGGAGATGTAGGCACCGGTATAATGAGGCTTAATGGGGCCGCGGAGCATCACGGGAGTTGTAGGCGCAGCTCCAATGGGTTCCGGTGAGGCGCGGGGCATGACGGGAGATGAAGTCCCGGCTGGAATAGCGCTCTAAGGGCGCCGCGGAGCATGATGGGAGCTGTAGTTCCGGAAGTGTATCGGAAAACGCGTTCGGCGGTGTGGGGAAGCCCTTGGAGAATATTTTTGTGTCCGAGTCGTGGCTGCTGGTGCTTGGGGCGAATGTATACGGCTCGGGAGCACTTGGGGGGAACCTGGGGAGCTCTAACCGGGCTCTTTAGGGCGCGGGGCACGGCAGGAGGTTTGGGCGAAAAACTGTGTTGTGGGATGATGGGAGGTGAACTCCCAGGAGTGGCTGGAAGGGGCATCTGTGGGATCGGGAGCATTCAGGGATCCAGGGACACTTTGAGGGGTCCCGAACGGGCACTGAGGGGGCACTCGGGGATCCTGAAGGGTCTGGGGGACACATGTGACATATGGGGGGCAATCCCGGGGTTCTGGGGAGCGCAGGGCATATTCACAGTTCCTCACAACCTGGTCTCAATTGCCCCCTGCAGGCTCCTACTGACTGCCAGTATGATCCCAGTATGATATCAGTACACAGCCAGTGCAATCTCAGCCACTGCCAGGATGATCCAAGTACAAACCAGTCCCTGCCAGTGCTGCCACTCCTGGGATCCCCCAGCCCTCTCTGTGTTCCCCCCTCCCACATCTCCCCAGAGGAGCCCCAGTTGCTGGCAGTCCCCAGCCAGGGTCCCCAGCCAGCCCCAGGTTGGATCTGCAGCCCCCAATTTTCCCAGTTTCCCTCTCCTTTTCCCCGGGCCGTGTTCCCCCCGTCCCCACCGGGTGGGAGCAGCGGAGAGCCCCGCGCTGCTCATCCCGACCTGTCCCGGCTCCATCACCGCTCCTGCAGTGGGCTTTGAGGGGTTTGGGAACGGGGCACTGAGGGTGTCGCTGCTCCTGGGGGAGGAGGAGGAGGGATGGAGGAGAAGGGATGGAAGATGAGGGATGAATGGAGGAGAAGGGATGGAAGATGAGGGATGAAGAAGGAGAGTGAGAAGGGATGGAAGTAGGAGAAGGAGCTGGCGTTAGGGAGGAGAAGGAGGAGGGATGGAAGGGGAGGAGAGGGAGGAAGATTTTGTAAATACTCCGCAAACCCCTTCATTCTTGTCCCCCATGGGGATGTGTCCGCACTTCACAGAACAGGGGTGGGAAGGGGTCTCAAAATATATCCAACATGGACCTAAGGTATTTTAGACAAAGAAGGCTCAGATTTACGAGGCGTGGTCCTGGGTTCATTGTATGTGCATCGCCCAGGGCAAGAAAGTGGCTGAGATTCCTCAGGTGCTGTCTCTTAAACTTGGGGGAGGGGGTGGCCAGGGGATACAGGGGGGTTACAGCCAATGGGATAGGGAAAAGAAAAGGGAGGTTAGGTAGGGACTGACCTTATACAAAACCAAGGGTGAGTTCTTCCCCTGGGACTGACCATAATTTTTTAAATGAACTTCAACAGGAAGAGGAGGGACAAAGGAGGATCAGGGAAAGGAGAAGGAACCAAGAGGTCAAGAACTCCCGGAATTCACAGTCCCCCACCTGTGGGATCATCACCCCACATCTCCCAGGTGCCCCGAGAGGGGGACCTCAGCCCAGATATCCTGGGGGGTCCCTGGGTTGGGTTTTTTGGAGGGGATATTTGCGACTTAAGGACTGCAAAGCTGAGTGGAAAATGCCCCTTGGGGGACACTGGGGAGTTCCCACCATCCCTAAGTGAGGAGATGGAAATGAGGGAACTTTTTGGATTCCTCGCATTCCCAGCAGCCTGGGCAGGGCAGGGACCGAGTAGACAGAGGACCCCCAGTACAAGCGTGACCCCCAGCAGCTGGGACAGGGAGGAACCCCTGAACACCAAAGGGGACAGACCAGAGATGGGGAACTCCTGGGAGGCATTTTCAGGGCTGAATCTTGGTGTTTGGGAGGTTTTTATGGAAGGCTTGGGATTTCTAAAGATGGACTTGGGAAGGAGGAACCCCCTAATCCAACGTGCTCATGAATTGTATTTTTCCCCAAACCAGGATTTCCCATTCCCAAACCTTGGCCGGATGGAGAAGGAGGCTGTGAGGAAGAGGAAGATGCCCCAGGACACCCAGGCAGGTGAGGAGGAAGTCAGTGCCCCTTTCCCCCTCTCTATTGCTCCATCTCCCAGCCCAGCATGGCCTCCGGCTGCAGGACAACCCCGCTGCCGACACCGTCCTGCCGGGGACGCACTGGGGGGATCTCCTTCCCCTTCCCTCTGGCACGGAGGCAAATCCCATCCTCTCCTTGTCCTTCCTCCCCCAGACAAGGAGCTGAGGATGGAGACCAGGGAGGACAAATCCCCACTGCAGAACCTCATGGAAGAGGCCGTTTTGAGCAGCTCCACAGCACAGGAATCCAATGGAGAGGAAAAGCTTCGGAGATCCTGCAGGAGGAGGGGCTCCAAACGCTGCCTAGGGTGCTCTGAGGAGGAAAGACCCACCCTGTGCCGGGAAGGTGGCCAGAGATCCAGCCGGGGCTCTGAGCTGGTGGTCCATGAGCAGCTTCAGGATGGGGAGAAGCGCTACAAGTGCTTGGAGTGTGGGAAGAGCTTCAGTCGGAGCACCAAACTGATCTGCCACCAGATGATCCACACTGGGGAATGGCCCTACGAGTGTGGTGAATGTGGGAAGGACTTCAGCTGCAGCTCCAAACTCATCACCCACCAGCGCATCCACACTGGGGAGAGGCCCTACGAGTGTCCTGAGTGTGGGAAGAGGTTTCAGAGCAGCTCCCATCTCCTCCTGCACCAGCGGATTCACACGGATGAGAGGCCCTTCCGCTGCCCTGACTGTGGGGAGGGCTTCAAGAGAAACTCCAGTCTCATCTGTCACCGGCGCATCCACACTGGGGAGAGGCCCTACGAGTGTGGGGAATGTGGGAAGAGCTTCAGCCACACCTCCAACCTGACCATCCACCAGAGGATCCACACTGGGGAGAGACCCTATGAGTGTGAGAAATGTGGGATGACCTTCAGATGGAGGTCCCAACTGACCATCCACCAGATGATCCACACTGGGGAGAGCCCCTATGAGTGTCCTCAGTGTGGGAAGACATTTCAGACCAGCTCCCATCTCCGCAATCACCAGCGGATTCACATGGATGAGAGGCCGTTCTGCTGCCCTGACTGCAGGAAGGGCTTCAAGCACAACTCCCACCTCATCAGGCACCGGCGCATCCACACTGGGGAGAGCCCTACGAATGTCCCAGTTGTGGGAGGAGCTTCTCCAGGAGCTTTCACTTGACCAAACACCAACAGAGGCACCAGTAAGGGAAGCCCTGCGAGTGCCCCAAGTGCAGGAAGAGCTTTGTGCGCTTCCCTGGCTCCATCCCCCATCAGAGGACCCACGTTGGGCAGGACCTGATGACCCACGTTCCCAGTGATCTGTGTTGGGAACACACTGGGCTGGAGGTAATTTTATTTTGGTTTCAATTATCTTTTGATTCATCTTCATCGGTAAAAATCAACAAATTCATCAAAGGCATCTAAAACCTCACATTTTACTAGTGCTTCAAGGGAATCTGGGAGGTACTTGGGAGTATTTGGGGGTTGTGGGGTTATTTGGTGGAGTTGTCTCCTTTTCTTGGCACTCAAAGAGACGAGAGGCTTCTATCTGTCACCTCAAAACCACTCTATGCCACTGAATCCTACTCAATCCCTCTCCAAAATAATTCAATTCTACAGCCCCTCAGGGTGTGTTACCTTAAGTTTTAGCTTTCATATTTTTCATATTCTACACTGCCTGGGTTTGTAGCTTTGAACTTCGTATTGTTAGTGAGCTCTCTTCACAGAGTAGGTAGACAAAACAATTCCTTTTCTAGCTTGATACCAAGGACAGTCGTTAGAAGTTTCAGCCCAAAAGCATGAACAAGTGTGGACTGAAAAGAGAAAACAAGAAGGATGGGACTTCATCATCTGAAGCTGTAATTGGACAATGAATAGATTGCAATATGCAGATGGACCTAAACTTCTAAGAATGTGAAACCTCGTGATGAGTTGTCCATTTTTGTGACCATTTTTGGTTGGGTGTAGCCCTGGCCAGGCTCTTGTACTGCCCAAGGTGAATCCTTTAAGGCCTTTTAATAGACTTTATTCTTAACTCTGTCCAGCCCCTGTTCTAGGTCAGCCTTCTAAAGGCATCAGGTGGAATGGGGTTGGAAGCGGACTGGGTGAAGTGGGATGCAAATCAGGAGGGGTGAGATGGGCATTGGATGGGTGGGATGGAGTTTGGGAGGTGTGAAATGCAGGAAATAGAGCTTGGGAATGGGGTCTTGATGTCCAGCAGGGATGGGATGGGTTGGGGTTTGGACTGGGGAGGTGAGGTGGAGTCTGGAATGAGACAGCCAAAGTTTGGGGATGATGAATGGAGCAGGAGGCCATTACTGAGTTTTTCTGTGAGATTCCCCTGCCCAGGGAGGCAAAGATTTAGTTTCAAATGAACACTGTTAAAGTGAGAGGCATGGGCAAGAGGGAATTCCATCCCTCTGCCTCAGAGGTTGGGCCCTGCAAGCCCAGGAAGAAACCACCCTGGACCCCTCATGGGGTGGCAGCCCAGGGATTTCTGATTTGGTTTGGGCCCCTGGGGTTTCTCCCTTACTGTGTCCCCAGTGGTCCCTGACCTTGAACTCCACCCTGGTTCTCAAACCCCATTTCCCTGCCTCTGTTTGGGGCTGTCTCTGGATCTGAGTTTGTTCCTGAGCTGAATAAATGGTTTCCTGAGCAGAATCCCATCTCGTTGGTGTCCTATGCCTGTTCCTGGTAACTATAGCCTCCCTGGACATGATCCTGCAGCCCTGGAATGCAAGACCCTGCAAAATCAAGCCCCCCACCCGCCTAGAACCCCCAAATATCAAAAAATTCCCATAAATTTGCTCTAATTCCCTGAAATACCTTTAATTTTTCCTAAATCATGCTTTTTGTCCCCCGCCAAGACCAGGTGCCTCCACTGGATCTCGGGGACACCCCCAGGAATTTGGAGGGGGTCTCTCCTCCCCTGCCACCTCCAAAAGCCCACCACTTTTGGGAAAAAAAGCCCCCACAAAATCCCTTGGATTCAAGGGGGAGTGCCCCCATTTTTTATGCATTTTTTGGGGGTACCCCCCCAAATTTTTCAGGTTCTTTTGCCTTTTTTTGCCAGTTTTTTTTTTGTTTTGGCATTTTTCAAAATGAACTTTTTTGGGAGGGGTTCCTCCAATTTTTTGGGGGGGGTCCCTCAATTTTTTCCTGGGAATTTGACCCCTCCCTCGATATATCCTTTGTCCCCCTCCCCCCAAATTGGGTTGAGGGGATCTTTTATTTTCTTTTTTTTTCTTTTTTGTGTTTATTTTACCTTTCCACCCCCTTTTTTTCTTTTTTCCTCTTTTAATTTATTTGCACTTAATTTGGGGGGCTCAGGGGCAGGAATTTTGGGGAGGGGTTGTCTGGGGGGGCTAGAAAATTTGCGGAGACGCCCATTCCCCCAAAAACCAGGAAAAATCACAGGAATTCTGGTGTTTCCCCCCATCCCAAGGTGTGAAAAATATTAAATAAAAAATTTACGTTCTCAACTTCTCTGGTGATTTTTGGGGAGGGAGTTGCGATTTTGGGGTGGGGGGTTGGGGAGGAGTTGCTGGTTTTTTGCGGGGGAGTCTCCCAGGTTTTGGGGTGGAATTTGGAAATTTGGGGGGAATTTGGAGGTTTGGGGGGAATTTGGGGTGTTGGGGAGAAACTTTGAGGGTCCTGGGGGAATTTCGAGGTTTTAGGGCAGACATTTTAGGATTTTTTTGGTAACATTTGGGTGTAGATGGAGGAAATTTGGGGTTTTAGGGAGAACTTTGGGTTTCTTAGGGGGAGGATTTGGGGTTTTGGGAAAGAAATTGGGGTTTGGGGGGGAAATTTGGTGGTTTTGGGGGAAATTTGGGGGGGG